CTTCAGGTCTTTTGAGGTAGGTGGCGAGTTGGCTTGCGGAGTATGATAGGTCCGGGCGGCAGGTGACAGCCGCAAAGAGAAGGCATCCCAGCTTTCTCTGGTAGTTGCGTATCCCGGCGGACTTTAGTGGAGCGGATTCTTCCTTGTGATTTCCTGCCGTGTAACGATATGGCGTAGAGATGGTAGTTGGCGTGAGTGCGAAGCGTTTGGCGATGGTATCGGCATATTTTGCGGCGTTGAGGTAGATCGCGCTTTCTCCTTCCTGAATGTTTAGGCCGAGATATTGCGTGACGGTAGATGATGCTGTAAGCGTAAGGTCTTTCTGCAGTTCCCCTTCGAACCAGGTAGTAACGTTGTCGGTCGATCCGATGTAGAGTAGATCGTCTATGTAGACGATCAATAGAATGTAGTCGTCACCTTTCGTGAGCCGGTACATGCCTTGGTCGTGCGGTAGCTGCCGAAATCCGATGCGAGTAAGTCGAGCGTTTAGGTACTGCTGCCACAGTCTCGGGGCCTGTTTAATACCGTACAATGACTTTAGTAGCTGGCAGACTTGGTTAGGTTCTCCATGGGAACCGTGTGGAAGTTCGTCGAAGATTTCTGCGTCGACAGGTGCGTAGAGAAAAGCATTGGCAACGTCGATTTGCCGCAGTTTCCTTTTCTTCAGAGCGGCGATCACGAGAAGAATCTGTAGTGAGGTGTGTCGACTAACCGGTGCGAATGTCTCGGTGAAATCGCGTCCGTGCTCTTGGTCGAAGCCGCGTACGACCCAGCGTGCCTTGAACTTGTCGATGGTGCCATCTGCTTTCGTCTTCACACGGAAGACCCACTTCCCGGTGAGTATTGTCTTATTTCGTGCCACGCCGATAGGTACCACTTTCCAGTTGTTGCGCTCCTTCAGTGCTTCGAGTTCTTTGTCCATGGCTTCACGCCATTTTTCCCTATGTTCCCCCCCCAGAGCCTGCTGAACTGTGGCAGGCTCCTTAGGAGTTTCGGTGCCGTGGACCGCGGTGACTAGGCCGAGTATCTGAAGGCCACTCTGTGTGTAGCGGGGGAGTGTTGTGTCCGCGGGATAAGCTGCTTCGTCACCTGTTTCTGGGTCAGGTATGAAGTTGGGCCCTATGCGTTCTGCTTCGTTGGTGTTGACTTCTGCAGGTGTAACGTAACCGGTGTCGGCGAGGTCGAAATAAGTTTCGGCGTTGACGCTTTCGCCCCTCTTTTCCCGTCGCCCGTCGCGGTGCCCTGGGGGGCCGCGCGCGGCCCCCCTCAGGTCGCCTCGACAGGCGACGGGAGGGGCGATCTTGGGGGGGGGGGGGGGCGGGCGTCGCCCCTTCTGCCGCCTGTGTTGGCGCCCTGGGAGGCCACGCGTCTAACCCCCCCCCCCCCCCCCCCCCGTACCCTCCTTACCCGCCATCCCGCCCTGCCCTGTGTTAGGGTTTGGGGGTGGCGAGTCGGGGGTGGCGGGTGTGTGGCGTCCACTGCTCCTCCTCCTCCTCCGTCTCCCACTGCTGCAGCTGCCGCTGAGGGGGGTGGGTGTGTGGGAGCCGATGGAGTGGTGCTAGGGGGTGGGTGTATGGGAGCCGATGGAGTGGTGCTAGGGGGTGGGTGTGTGGGAGCTGATGGAGTGGTGCTAGAGGGTGGGTGTGAGCAGAGTTAGAGGTGCAGCAGAGGGTGTGTGAAAGGGGGGTGAGACAGTTAGAGGGAGGATGGGCGGAGGCAACTGTTGTGTCGCCAGCAGCGCCAGTAGTCCGGAGGCTACAATCTCCGGTAGCCCAGTCGTAGCCAGCTGCGCCAGTCGCCCGTGGGTTCGTTGCTCCTGCCGCTCAGAGTTAGCCGCCGAGCCAGTTACTCCTGTAGTCCGGGGCCTTTGCTCCGGTAGCCACTGTGCGCGCCGACTCCTGTTGCCCGTGTGTCTGCAGCTTCAGCCGTCGCCTCCTATCTCCTCTCCTCTTACAGTCCCGCCTCCTCCTCACTTGCCCTCTGTGATAGCCTCTAGCTTTGCTTATATCTGTGACCTTTAAACTGTTGCTTGTGCTCAGAATGTGTGGTGACATTGTGATCCACCCTGAGCTTATTTTGCTTTTCTTCTTGTGCTGATTACACCCCACTTTGACTATGGGGGTGTGTCAGAATATTATGTTTCTCTAGTCTGCAGTGGGGTACTCTATAGTGAGTACAACCCTTTTAGGGTTTGCTATATGTATCCCAATGTTTGCTAGTGAACCTCTCACTTCCGCTCCACTCTTCTCTTCCATTCATTCCTGTTTATTCACAAATACTAGAACCCTCCGGGGCTTAAGTCAGGGTCAAGGTCCGGTGGATGCGTCCAGGGGGCGAAGTTGACAATGGCGTCGCTGTCGGCCGTTCCTAGATCTGGTACGAAGTCGAGGACGAAGACGTTATTCTTCAATACTGCTCTGCCGATGTAGAGTCCTCCTCGACCGTGGAAGAGCTTGAACTCCTGTGTGGTGCTGTCTGCTTCAAGATGGATCCCCTTCGCCATTAGTTGGCTGACGCTTAGTAAGTTGTAGCCAAGTCCTTCTGCTATTAAAACCTTTGGCATTTGCAGTATGACGTTTGTCTCTCGTGACTGAAGTTGCACTACGCCTTGTCGTCGTGTGCGCAGATTCTGATTGTTGGCGACGGTGATGACGACCTCGCGTTGAAGTTGGTGTTCACGTTGAACAAAGCATCCTGAAGAGCACATATGCTGTCCGCAGCAGCTGTCCAAGAACCACGTATCTTTTCCGGACGACTCGCTTTGAGCGATGGCTGCATACGTCGGATTTGGTTGAAGTGACTCGCGGCGAGGTGTGCTGTTGTCGAGTTGCTCTTCCGGTGAGTAATGTGGTGGTGACTCTGTGATGCAGGAGTCGGTCAGTCGTGTCATGCAACTGACGATGTTTCTTGTTTCTTGCGCAGGTTGTCCCGTCGATGTCGTTGAGGCTTGTACTTGAGAAGTCGGGTTCGCTTGCGTTGAGGCGACTTGACTGCTTGAAGGGCGAAGCGGCCGGTTTGGGCACTGTGTACGGGGGTGACCTGACGTCTTGCAAAGGTGACAGAACGGAGGTACTGATTTCGGTTGATGCCGATTGTTGCTGTTGTAGCGTCGTTGAGTGTGGAATGCAAATTCGGGCACTGATGCCTTCTTCTTGTGTCGTTCCTCTTGCAGGTCCATATCTTGCTGCTCAGCATGGATCTCGGCGCAGAGTGCTGCTTCTGATATTTTTCCGTGGGCTCGGAGTATGGCGCGAGTGGAGCGCCACTGAGGACCGAGACCGCCGATGATGACTGTGACGAAGGCGTCTTCTGAAATCGACCCTCCGCATCGAAGGAGTTTGTCGCGCAATTCGCGACAACGGCTGATATACGCCATCCCCTTTTCGCCTGGTTTCATTTCGACTGTCGTCAGTTGCGCCATTAACCGACTTTGATTTACGCTGTCTGTTGCTTGATACAGGTTCTTCAGGTGGTTGTACGCGAGCTCTGCAGAGTTGCCGTATCCCCGGGAAGACCGTATATTCTGCTGCTGATTCGGAGTAATATTTCTTAGTAGTATTGTGTACGCCATCATTGACTGATACGTGTATTGCTGCTTGTCGTACTGTGTGCCGTGTGTTGGATATGGCAGGGACCCGTCGAAGAAGCCAAGGATCTGCGCGCCTTCCATCATTAGCTCGAACTCGAATGACCATGTAAAGAAGTCCTTTCCGTCGAAAGGCTTTGTCGTTTGCAGTTTTAAGACATGGGCGAACTGCGACTGAACTTGAAGTGCATCCAGTGTCCTTTCTTGTCCAGATGCAGGCTGCGGGTGTGGCATAAAGCTGACGGAGCCACGCTGGGGCTCGTACGGAGCAAAGGTAGGCCGTTGCTGTTGATTTCCACGTGCGTACGATGAACCATCTAGGCTCATTGGTGTTGCGTTGTTGTTGTTGCTGTTGTTTGACTGTGCAGGTGCCCCTTGCTGGTGTTGTTCGTAGAAGGACATGAAGGAGAAGAACTTCTCCATCATGTCTGGATCGAAGGCCGCAGCTTGATTTGCTGGAGTTTCTGAAGATGTTGCTCTGGGTCTTGTTGCAGTTCCCTCCTCTGTCTGTAGGCCAGAGGCAGGAGGTGGAGTAGGAGTAGTGCCAGGAGAGCCGTTAGAGGAGCTTCTCTCCTTCTGTGTTGCCATGTCTTATGATGTTGTAGATATCTTGATCGTAGTCGAATTTGTCCTGACTGCTCTCATACCATATTGGGCTGAATAAGCCCTTAGGATCTTTGCAGGACAGAATTCAAGGGTAGAACAATGTAGTAGCGGAAGCGTTTAATAAAAGGATTGTGAACCACCTTGCGCTGGTATGTGAGGGCAAAGTTGATTGATTGAAGTAAAGAGATACAAGCTTTTATAAGGATACAGGGAATATGAAAAGATACGGTTAATAACCGTTTTACTGTTGCTGTTGCGGTTCGATACAGTGTCGACTCGGGCAACTGCTCAGTATCGAGACAATTGTTTGTCCTTGCTGTCGCGCTGCATTTGTCAGGTCAAAGGTCGCTGACCTTTGACTTTCGCGTAACCTCCAGCAGTTGTTCAACCTCCGAGGGTTGACTCGCTGATGCTTCGATGTGATCTGCTTCGCTTCTGTCTTGGTGTTTCGACACGACAGAGGCGCTTTAAATTACTTGTTTCCAACAATAAGACCCCCCCCCCCCCCCCCCCTTTTTTTGTGAAATCAATAACAGCCCCTAGGGTCTTTTATCCGGGGGAATACTGTATATTTGCAATCCATATACCGTACTGTTTAGCTTCTTACTATGAGAATTCATTTAGCATCTTCCCATTTTTTTTTAAGAACGATACAGAATGACATCACCACTCATAACAAATTAGAATACTGGTACAACAGAATGATCACACATGCTCATTTTCCAACTTCCACGTTAAAACGTACCACGTATTGGGTAAGGGGGTCCTAGTATTGTCAGAAATGCTTAGCTTTCTCCACCTGATTCCTTCAGGCCATCTCCTGAACCCAGCTTTTCCTGGGTGTGAGGAGCATGAAATCGAGCAGTGGGTTGACCTGGGCCACGTGAATTCTGGTGGAGGGAGGGAGAGGGGTCGAGATACAGAAACAGAGAGAAGCAAGAAACAGTGCCGGGAGGTTGGAGCCCAAGGATTACACAAGAAGCAGGCAGGAGACTTTGCCACAACATTTGTCCCTTAGAATGAATTCACTCACTTGTGAAACTCGACCAGAATTTGTCCGAACGGTAGTGTGCCCCCGTGCACAGTCAGCTGCGCCGCTGCATTCCCATTCGCCGCCCCGATCTCCGTAATCAGCGCCTCCTCGCACCCCTCACAGTCAATCTTGAACACATCCACATATGTATGATTCAACATCTCCATGATGCCTCCTAGTGTCTTGAACTGCATGTTAGGGAACTTGGTGTGGTAGACTTGGAGGACGGAGTTTGCAGAGAGGCCGATGGGGTGGAAGATGAGGGAGGAGACGTTCTGCATGCGGGCGGAAGTTTCGGGAGTGAGGAATGGGTCGAACGTGTGGGACTGCACGTGCAGAAGCTTGTAGATAGAGTCCTCGAATGAGTACTGCCCGTGACAGCCAATGCTGAAAACGAGATAAGCAGAGAGAGTGTGAGAGTCAGCACATGGGGAGGAAAAGCTGCTTGATGGGAGGATGGGAGGATGGGAGGATGGGAGGATGGGTGGATGGGAGGATGGGAGGATGGGAGGATGGGTGGATGGGTGGATGGGTGGATGGGTGGATGGGTGGATGGGTGGATGGGAGGATGGGTGGATGGGTGGATGGGTGGATGGGAGGATGGGAGGATGGGAGGATGGGAGGATGGGAGGATGGGTGGATGGGAGGACGGGAGGACGGGAGGACGGGTGGACGGTGAAAGGATTGCCGAGAGGCCCACGGAGTGGGAGTGGAAGGAGCAGACATGCCACTCCCCATCTTTTTTCTCCTTCAATTGCTCCGTCACTAACCCCATGACTCACTACTCTCCACGCCCCTCACCTGTACACGACAGGGTCCTTCTGAATGGCGCCTGGCAGCAGGCAAGTCCACTGCGGTGGTGAGGCGGGGGAAAGGGGGTGAGGGAGAAGGGTGAGCAGATGAATATTGGAGTGGACGGATGGAGTTTAGGTTGGGTCGATGGATATTGGGGTGGGTGGAGGGAAAAATGGGGTGGGTGGAGGGGGACTGGGGTGAGTAGAGCGAGATTAAGGTGGTAAGAGGGAGATTGGGATGGGTAGAGGGAGATTGAGGTGGGTAGAGAGAGTTGGAAGTTGTGCTGCAGCAAGCTAGAGTTCCGAACGAACGCTTCACAGAGGACAGGAGCATTTCAGTCGCTTTTTTGTCTCACCTTTCCGCCATCTCCCCACTCCCCAATGCGCTCGTTCGCCGGGCACGGGTACGTCGGGATGAGCACAACGGTCTTCATCAAGACGGGTGTGTACTGCACAGGTGGCGGGTACAGCATTCCCTTGCACGCCTTCCGTCTCAGCACAAGGTTCTCCTGCGGGAAGGGCATTAGGGGGAAGAGCGGGAGAGGGAATGTGGGTTACAGCGTTATGATGCACAGCTTCCGTCTCAGCACAAGGTTGTTTTGTGGGAAGACGACGGGGGTTGGTGGGGAGAGGGTGAGGGGGGAGAGGATAGCAAAGACACGGAACAACGATTCGCCACGCACGATATATGGAAGCGAAGGCAAGGGAGATCTTAAGCCGGAACCTCTCCCAGTTCATTTGCTTCTGCACGGCAGATTGCCGCATCAATGCAACTCATTCTGGGAAACGGAAACGCGGAAGGATAGTACAGGCTCGGAACGCCGATTCAGCAAGAATGATCGCCTGCTGTCCACATAAGAAGCAGAAAAAAATAAATAAATAAATAAAAAGTCGTATCCTTTTGAGTCAATGCCGACATAAGAACTCACCCAGTAATTCTCCTTTGCACGACAAATGGCCGCGTCAATGCCACTCATGCTGGGAAACAGAAACGCAGCCCATCCGAGGCTAGGCGGCTGGTACGGAAGCGACGTTGCCGAGCCTTCCCCGCTGCGCCAGCCGATGGAGAGCAGACCGGGGTTTGACTGAAATGCCAGGTTTATGGGGACGACTATAGCGAGGATGACGGCGAAGGGGATGACGTACGGACGGATGGTGCTTCCGACCTGTTCGATTAAGGTGCGTAGTGTTTGTAATGTGGGCTCGACCATGGAACGAATGGTGTTAAGAGCTGGCTCGGCTCTGGCGGGTAAGTCCGACATTTGTTTTTCAGCCATTTTTATAACCGGCAAGCTCTAAAAACGGTTTTGGAAAGTAATCAAAGCGAGTTGATCTCTTGCTGGAGAGCGTATGGTGCTGAATACAAGAACGAGGTTATTTAGCTGATTCAGTTCTAGTAAGTATGGCGGGTTTGAGTATGAGTAAGCTATTCAGATCTTCAGATGAGAAATGCAGGAGTCGAGGCTGCAAGGATAGTTCATGACTTCCCAGGGTTTGAATGCATTTGGACTGCAAGACTAGGGTGAATTCATTATGCCAGAATCTGCTGTGCCGGAATCCGAAGCCAGCAAACTCGGCGAGTCATAAAAAAACTCTGTAGGTCAAATACCAGCACGAGTTATACAAGGACCATAATCACGCAGCCATGAAGCGCAACTAAGATGACCTGAAAGGAGCAACCGATATGTGCACCAGGCAGCGATGGATTCATGGATTCATGGTTTCTGGTAGTTGAGTGAATGTAGGGGATGTTGTTTGCTATCCAATGAGCATTTCCGTCAGCAATGGAAGTGCCGGCCACGAATGCAGCCGTCCAGTGAGGTTCTGTGTGTGTCAGTGAAGAAATCGGAATGTTTTGGCGGGCATTTCTTGGGGAACATCCGCCGCCTTTTCTCGTTGGTCAGGCTTTCCTTGAATTCGGTGAAACGCCTCTGATTTCGATATAGGGTTTGACGAGAATGGAATTTTGAGAAGGTGGATGGAACGAAAACATCAGAAGAATAGCTTCAGTACCTCAGAGGTGAAACTGACTGAGGGATATATCGATTATGATACAACCAGCCTTCATCAATTAGTACCCATGTGCTGTTCACATTATGAGAGCTTAACTATCAGTAACTTCATGGTAATCACGCGGAGCTGCATTTAGCCCTTTCATTGGGTTGTTCCAAGCTTTCACGAAATAAGCTACCTGAAATGCGTAGATCACACAAGGGAATGTCCTTAATGTGGAACATTCAGTATCCAACTGTCTCTAAAGAATACACCAGGGAAAGAATCTCTAGAGGCTCATCAGCTCTCCCAACTGAGGTATTTGTTGGAAACATATAGTTCTCACTTCTGTTGTGTCGAACGCTATAACAAGAACGAAGTATACTCACAGCGAAGCAACACCGAATCAACCAAGCCATAGCGAAGTGGTTGACGAGGCGACAACAACAGGAGGTTGAAGCGAAGGTCAAAGGTCAGCAACATTTGACTCGACAAAAGCAGCGCGACAGCAAGGACAAATGGCCGACTCGTTATTGAGCACTTACCCGAGTCGTCGCTATATCGAACCGCAACAGCAGCAGTTAATTATGTTGGCTGAGAAAAGCCCTTAGGATCTTTTGCATGACTAAATTCTGAGTAGGACTGGTGTAATAGCGGAAGCGTTAAATAAAGACTTGTGAACCACCTTGCGCTGGTATGTGAGGGCAAAGTAGATTGATTAATAACAAAGAGATACAAGCTTTTATAAGAATACAGGGGAATATGTAGGGTTATAACTAATAACCGTTTTACCATTGCTGTTGCGGTTCGGTACAGTGACGACTCGGGCAACTGCTCAATAGCGAGTCAGTTGTTTGTCCTTGCTGTCGCGCTGTACTTGTCAGGTCAAAGGTCGCTGACCTTTGACTTTCGCTTAACCTCCAGCAGTTCAACCTCCGAGGGTTGACTCACTGATGCTTCGATATGTTCTGCTTCGCTTCTGACTTGGTGTTTCGACACGACAGAGGCGCTTAAATCAATTGTTTCCAACAAATTAAACCTTTCATATTCCTTGTAATCATATGAAGCCCTGTATCTCTTTCCTATAATCAACTAATTTTTTTCTCACACACAAGTGCAAGGTGGTTCAATCAGCCTTCATTAAACGCTTCCGCTAATACATCACTTTGAGCCTAAGTACTTGAAAACGATCCTAAGGGCCTTTCTCAGCCCAGCATGGTATGAGAGCTAGCAAGGACAAGTCTCAAATATCTGTTAGAATATATCTGTAACTGCCTGTAGCTGTAGTTAGTGTAGTTATTATAAACTTGTTGGTGGTGCACCTTCTTTGAATCCTTTGTTTGCTATATGTACCCTAAGTGCTATAGTGAACCCCATTCTCCTCTCATGCTCTCGACTCTCGCCCCTTGGCACAAACCATCTCGACCCCCCTTGTGGCCTAGGCTACTAAGCCTAGGCCCACTTAAACCTAACTCCTCTTGCCACTATTTCGACATGGTATTAGAGCCTCTTATGTCCTGGCCTGTGGGCCAGCCTCACGCTTCCGCCACTGTTTTTCCGGTCGCGCGCCTCGGGCGCGTGGCGATTTTCGTTCTATCCCGCGCCCGGGTGGCGCGTGACGTTTTTTTTTCTGCCCGTAGCGGACCCGCCCCCGGCGCCCGCGACGGTGCCCTGCCTGCCTGCCTGCCTGCCCGTCGTGCGCCCCGTGGCGCGCGACGGTGCCCTGCCTGCCCGTCGTGCGCCCCATGGCGCGCGACGGTGCCCTGCCCGCCGTGCGCCCCGAGGCGTGCGACGGTTTCGTCGCCTGTCGCGCACTGCCCCCCCAGGTCGCCTCGACAGGCGACGGGAGGGGCGACCTGGGGGGGACCGCGCGTCGGAGCAGCCGCCCCTGGTGCAGCCGCCCCTGGACCTCAGCAGCCGCCCCTGCCTCGCCCGCGCCTGCCCTCGGAGCAGCCGCCCCTGCCTCACATGCACCTGCACTCGGTGCAGCCGCCCCTGCCCTACCCGCGCCTGCCCTCGGTGCAGCCGCCCCTGCTTCTTCCCCGCCACCCCCCCCCCCCCCCCCCCCCCTCCTCCTTCTTCTCCCTGCTGCGCGTGCAGCAGTGGGGGGGAGGGTATGGGGGTGGCGAGTATGGGGGTGATGGGTGGTGTGTTTCCCTTCCCCTCCTCCTCCTTTCGTTCCCACTGCTGCAGCTGCCGCTGGGGGGAGGGTGTGAGGGTGTTTTTCCTCCTCTTGCCACTATTTCGACAATATCTTCACTACCTACAACAACAGAAGACATGGCAACACATGTCAGAATCCCAACCACTAGACCATTGGGATAAAAGGGCTTGTTAAGTAGCGGGTCAGTGCGCCCATAACCCCCTAGGCCAACATGCCTGTAACCCTTCCCTAGGATCAATCGGGGATCACCAGTGGACCTCTGACACCCCCCCGCACTGGGATGCCCGAAGTGCACACGCTGGGATTCGAACCCGAGATCTTTGCTCTGATACCATGTCAGAATCCCAACCACTAGACCATTGGGATAAAAGGGCTTGTTAAGTAGCGGGTCAGTGCGCCCATAACCCCCCAGGCCAACATGCCTGTAACCCTTCCCTAGGATCAATCGGGGATCACCAGTGGACCTCTGACAGCACAAAGGGAAAGGAGTTCATCCTAGCACTACCCTTACTCCACCTCCAGCCTCTGGACTACAGACGGAAGGAGGATCAACTCAGAGACCAGTGTCGAACTATAGAACGAGAATGGTGCATTGAACAGAAAGTTAGGTACACGTACTAACCCTAATTGGGTTGTACCCCTTATGGGCTACCCCACTACAGCCTACACAAATGTAAGCACTATAACATTCTTACACACCCCCATAGGCAAAGTGGGGGAGAACAAGTGGTCACAAGACCAGTCAAGAAAAAAACAAAGCAAGCTCAGGGTGAATCACGAAGACACCACACATTCCAAGCATAAGCAAAGGCTACAAGGCCAGTTCATATGCAGAGTTCTATAAAAGAGAACAATCAGTACAGTGATCATAGCCTAGCAAGAATAAGCATGCAAGTATATATATAGATCACAGTACAAGCAAAGTCATGCAGTGAGCAAGTGAGGCAAAGTGGGCATAAGGCCTAAAAGAATACAGAAACGCTGATAATCACCAGACTGAAGTGCCTTGGTGAATATATCAGCAGTGTTGGTCCGAGTGGCAACGTACGCAAGACGAAGCTGACCACACTGCTGCAACTTTCGAGCAAGGAAGTAACGCAGAGCGATGTGCTTCGTTCTGTGCTCCAATCTGTGCTCCTAACACAAGGCAATCATTGCCTTGTTGTGTACGTACAGAACTGGAGAAGAACGAGGCCGCTCTCCCAAGTCGGTCAGCAGGTAGGTGAGCCAGCGTAACTCCAGTGCAGCCATGGCCCCTGCAAAGATCTCAGCCTCACAACTGGAACTGAGAACAGAAGACGAGCGGGTAGACCGCTAAGAGACAGAGTCGGAGCCAAGGCTGAACGTGTAACCCTGTGACGATCGCTGCATAGCTAAGTTGTCAACTCAGGAAGCGTCTGCATGTCCAGTGAGGACAACTGGACCCCGTCCTCCAAGCACGAGCCCCATGCCCGAAGTACTGCACAAACAGCGCAACACCCTCTTAGCGGCCTCCCAGTGCTATGGTCGCTGTCTACCGGGCGCAACGTAGCGTGCTAGGATGCTAAGAGGGTAGGCAAGGTCAGGTCGAGTGCAGGTCATCAGGTACATGAGGCAGCCCACAAGCTCTGGATACGGGCCATTCGGCTCTACGGACTCGTCCGAAGGTGGAGCTGAGAGCGAGTGACCGGTAGGCAGAGGAGTGGACTTTAGCGAGGAGTACCGGAAGCCGAAGCGCTGAAGGACCTCGTGCACCATGTGTGAGTGAGTTAGGGTGATGGTGCGTCGTGCTCTGTCCCGGGTGATCTACAAGCCAAGATAGCTTCGCAGCTCACCCACGTCAGTGCAGATGTGTCTCTTCTGCAGCTCCAACTTCACAAGGGCCAGTGCCTCAGTGTCAGCAGTGGCAAAGAACAAGTCGTCGACGTACACGAGGACGTAGAATGGCGGCAGCGAAGTGTCGGTGCGTAGAAATAGCGACGGTTCAGCAGTCGAAGGAGCAAACCCAAGAGCCGCAAGTGTAGTCCTCAGTGTGTCATGCCACTCGCGAGGCGCCTGTCGGAGACCGTAGACTGG